AATGAAACTGTCTTAACTTGTTTTACACTGAAAGGTGTTGTTAATTAAAAAAAAAATCATTTTGTTATGGGTGTATATGATTCATGAGTAACTAGACTGAAAATTTTAAAGCAGTGGTTTTCAACTTGACGAGCCTCAGGACCCACCAACTACTCCTTCATGAAAAATCCAACCCATTTTTTTTTTTGTCAATCAATCAGATTTAAAGAAAAAAAATTGCAGTTTGGACCTCAGACGGTACAAAACTTGATAGAACAAAGAAACTGAATAAAATAAACTTGTTTAAAAAAGCCTTTCATTTACTTTTTGACATTCTTTTTCTTCCAGGCTCACATTCACGACCCACTTAAAATGGCTCCACGACCCAGTTTTTTTGGTCCCGACAGACCAGTTGAGAACCACTGGTCTGAAACATACATTTTTGTGTAACCATGTGTTGAAAGATGACATGTGAATCCTGCACCCAGACGACTGCCTTAACTGCACCAGCGTGGTTGTGGTGTACCCAGCGTACCCAACAAGATCTCCAAAAGTTCTACTTGACGGATCCTGAGTTTATGGTCATCAATCACAAAAGTTTACGTTGCTGTCTGTACACAATGAAACTGGCCTTGGAGTTCTGAAACTGAAAAGGGTCAGAAGCATTTTTAAAAGTCACCGTTTAGGGGCTGCAAAATGGCAGAGTAGTCTGGGCATTAAGCCTAAACATACACTTAAGCTATATTCACGTATACCTCTGTGTTGAATTGGTCTAACATAATCAGAGAAGCAGGTGAGTGAGTGGGTGTCGCAGTTCTGGTGGAGAAATCATCAGGAAAAGGGTAACAGGAGGTCAGAGTGTTTTGGTCTGAAAATAAAGAGTTAGTGACAGGAATGAAATAGACAGAGTGAGTGTATGAATGATCAAGAAGGATTCATGGCACTGATCACATGAGCACATTGATTTGACAAATCAAATCTTGCATCTGTTCTTACGCTACTGCTTACCTCCTGATGGGAAAGTTCTCCAGAACCATCGCCTGCAAACACGACAGAGACTCAGTGTTAACAGATCCATACAGCCAATATGAGGTAAACGGGGCTGCTGCTGCCTCTGTACTGGATTTAAGTGGTCATATGGAATGGGTATTACAAGCATGTGTTCCTTGAAAGAGGGTGTATTTGGTCAACCCCAAAAGGGCAATCAAAGACACCCTTGATTTCAGACTGGAAATATCTCAAGGTTCATGGATGCCAGTCTCCCTCTCTTTCTCTCTTGATCCATATGGATAAACAGTTGAAGGCACGCATGCCTCATGTCTGTGAGCCTGAGAAAGTGACTGGAGGACCACATAGTTACTTGAGACTTCTTGTGTAGCTCTGTCTATTATTTGGATTGTTGTGCTTTATTTTAGGCAAAGCAGAGTAACAGAGCAAACAGAGAATAATTCCCATTAGTTGTCAGCAAATGCTTTTTTTTGTTGATGAGACATAATCGCCTAGAAAAGTGCAAAAACCTGATTGCCAGGTCTAGGGACGACTATCCTTCATAAGGAGTGGATGCCTGCATTGAGGGATTGCCTGAAAGTATGTTATGTAATTCTGCCATTATCCATCCATTTATAAGCTTTTTTTTTTAATCTGTGTCGCCAAATCAATATACAAGTTTAGCTCCTGACACTTTATATATTGAGGAGGTCTATACAGACATCAATCACTCTTTATTTGTATAGCACCGATTCATAATGAATGTTACATTAAATCACCAAGGACACTTCACAACAGTGGCAAGGACAAAAAAGTAATTTAAAACGGGCAGACACCTCAAGCAGAACACAACACATTGGTATATAGTCATTGTGTGACTGGATGAGACACTGAAAGAGAGAAATGGATGAGGACAAAACAACAAACAGACATACAGAATGGTATAGTAGAAATATGATTAATATTAACAACAACGATAACAATGATAATATATGCATGACTCATCAAATAGCAACAATAATCAATCAATCAATCATTATTTGTAGAGCAGCCAAATCATAAAAGTGTTATCTCAAGACACTTCACAGAAAAGCAGGTATAAGACCATACTTATTGTTAAGTAAGGAGTAAGGCAGGTCAATGGCAGGGGGAGGTATCCTAAAGTCAATATTCAAACGGAATAGTGTGTTATGTCACTCTCAGTTTGGGAAGATCAAATGTCGTCATCAGGTCTTACTGCTTGGTTCTAGCGTGTTAGTGCATTTCACCACTTCCTGATTGATAAGTAACAACAAAGACATTGGTTACCAAGGTTTCCCACAGAATGACAGAATGACCTTGCAGGGTCATCTATGGGAAATATTTCAAGACATTACTCTGTTTATATTGGGTTACGTTACATGTCAAGTTAATTGTGCTTTACTCTTAAGTTATTTCAGTCTGCCTTCAAGACACTGACTGCTAAATGATTCTAAAGGAGTGGTATGTGGTAATTGAAGGCTCTACCTCGTATACTAGTTTGAGACACTTAAGGTACCACAACCTGCTTTCTGTTGGTGCATTTGTTTGGAGGGGAAATATGACATTAAGAGCTTTTTTGATTGGCGTGATGGTTAACAGCTTTGTAAGCCAACAGAAGAACTTTTACAAAATATTCTGCTTATAAAACTTGTGTTGACTTAGGCTACAAAGACGCAGGCAATGTGATGCAGCCAGACAGAGCATCTCATGAAAGGCCATTTGGGCAACAAGTAGAAATTATTAAATATTTTGACTGGGTGAATGACTTGTGATACAAAATTGTTAATTCAGCCAATACATTTACATTTAGTACCACATTCTTTTAAAGACATAAAGGGAAGTGAAGGGAAAACGATGAAGGGAGAAGGTAGAGCAGAGGGAGGGCAGGAGGTGGCAGATGGCTGCACATTGGAATGCAGAGCAGGAATAATGGAGGGAGAGAGAGGTGTAACCAAGGTAGTCAACTGAAGGAGGGGAAAGGAGGATGATATTTAATAGAATGCTAAGTGAATCTTTATTGGAACCACATTTTACTGAAGAAATCGTTTAACCTTGACTGAAAAGAAGTTTTAGGTGTGTCCTATAGGGATTATTCAACATAAAAAGACAGGCATCTGGAGAGTGATGATGCAGTTGATTTCTTTTTTAGATGTCACCTTATGTGTATGAGCGATACAGAATAATGTCAATGAACCTTCATTTGACTGTGACTTAGGAGCCTGATCGTTCAAATACTTTATGGGACATTTTTTTTCTAGTTGAGAATGTAATTCTGAGAAATATACTTACTGCCTTTTAACATGAACATTGATAAATGTATTTTTTTTTATTTTTACCCCACTGCTTTAGCTCTTGTCATGAGTGGCGGTAGAGCACAGAAGACAGAGGGAGAGAAGCGGCAGAGGGGGGAAGGGTGTTTGCCCCCCGCAGGGCTGCTGATGGATGCAGAGCTCCTGGGGTTAAGGGGAGGGCAGCCAGGCCCTGAGCCAGGGTACAAAGTGGCAGCTACCTGCCGCTCATCACACACAAACACACACACAATAGCCCTCGATACAGCTTTTGATAAAACACATATCTTATAGTATTAGCGACCTGTATCATGTCTCCTACGAGGGTTACGTGTTAAACTCGTGTACTCAAAGATACACACATACACACACACACACACACACAAACACATACACACACTTCCAAACACACATAGAGAGCAGAAGATGCTAATGGGAGGGAGGGAATGATTCAGAAAAAAAACTAACCATGTGTCAACACACAGCCTGTCAGTGGAGTGAACAGTTGAGGTGCATCCAGTCTGATACACACAAATTCAACAGTGTCACATTATTCCACCATCAAGGACACTGGGGGCAACTGATTCAGGCTACACCTAGCCATATCCTCTGGAGCGCCCACTGGTGGCTAAAACACTGCATGACAGGCTGAGAGTGGAACCACCTTCTCTGCATGCAAAAGGAGGCAGTGGGCTGTTTGAGGTGTCAGTTGAACAGTCTGGATGTGGCTCTAGTATGTCTTTTATGTTTGTTTTTTTCGTTGCCTTTTCTGCACAGAATTATAATGAACAAAAATCAGCCAAGCTTACGTTTTGCACTGACACGTATCACGTACACCTTCCCATGTTGGGTAGTGTTAATTCTGCAGAATGCCCCCCTTTTACACTACAAACAGACATATCGATGGGCCATTTCAAGCCCATCCAACTAATGTAATGACACTTCAAATTATGTTTACTCATCAGACTGCGTTGAGTTTCTGTGTCCCTGCTGTGGCCGATACCAAGCTGTCTAATTAATGGCCAGATCAGTCAGTAAAGTCTAACTGATAATGGCGGGTCAAGTGAGAGATGTAATAATTAAAGGGCGCAGTTTGCAGATAATTAATGTGGAGCATCACTTATGTCAAAAATAAAAGGGACTAATTAATGTCCTTGGCCGAGCTGTGAGGTGTGAACGCGTCATGTTCTTCCTAATGACCCGAGGTTTCACTCTGTCTTCTGCAGCTTTGCAGAAGTAGCCTATAGCCTACATGCATGTTAGTCTGTAAAAGCCTCTTTGTCACTGCAGATGAGTTCCCTCTTCTAGAAAAGAAGAAGAAGACGAACCTCTCTTTATCAAATGAAGGGAGGGGGAGTTTTAAAAACGCTAATCGCCTGTAATCCTTTTAATATGTCTCACACTTTGCGTTCTCAATACACAAAGCTGAGCAGCTCCAGCTTCTCTCACAGTGCGTCCCCAAAACTGGTGCGTTAGAGGAGAAGAGGGATGCGAGTGAGGGTCTTGTGGTGTCAGCAGATTTCATCAACTAATAAAAGCAATCCCTAACTGGGTATCATCATGTTCAGATGCACTTATTTTGGATTCTTGTTTTTTTTTTTTTTCCCACAGACTTCTAGTGGCAGCCCAGGCTCCTCCTCGCCCCTTTCTCCCCCTTATCCCATGTGGACCGCTCCTCAGGTAAAGAGATGTTTTAAATCAAGGGGGGTGGAGTGGGGCCGGGGCTGTCCGCTTTTGTTCTGTTGGAAAAGGGGGCTTGTTCTTTGGAGATCAGCCTGCCATTTTAACCGGGGGTGTGTTAGCGCCTGAGCGAGAGGCTTGACAAGGCAACGGAGTGGGATGGGAGCAGAGAGGAGAGAAGGAGCGTCCTGCCTGCAGTCCTGACACAAGCGAGCGGAGCAGCAGCAGCAACGAGTCACTGGGAGACCACTGAGGAGCCCAAACCAGCCCGAGATCACACACACCTGAAGGCCGCAGAGCACCATAGGGATTACAAACCTGGAGGAATAGTCTGACAGCGCGGACGAAAAATTGAAGAAGAAAAAAAAAACCTGCAGCGCTTTTCCCAAAACTTCATCGCACAGATCCACTTCTGCAAGTGCACTTAGACTCTGCATTGCCTTCTGACAGACACAGGCTGTCAGGCTTATATTTGATAGGAACTTATCATTCATAATTTTAATAAGATATTTCAGCCGAGCAGGAGCTTCCACAGTGACGGACAATTAATCGATGGAGAATATGTCCGCAGGACATGCATGACCCTCTCTGTCAGAACCCCCTGATCCTTTTCGGTGAAATCTTTGGACTTGACTGTTTGATTTTAACGAGACCATCTCTCCGAACAACCTGGGAAAGGCTGTAACCTCATTACAACATGCAACTAATTCCATCCAGACGTAGCTATCTGTAAGTTTGTTCCCCACTCTCACTCTTCACGAACTGCTGATGCTCCTTTACGCAGCTCCAATTGAACTTAACGCGTGTTTTTCTTCTTCTTCGCAGGTTTCTACACTTACTTGCAGTTTGCTACTATGCTCAGGTATGTCACCACCTTCACATCTTTCAATTAAAATGTTTTATTATACGTTTGTTTACAATGAGCGCGGAAATCGTGTTTATAGCTTCGGGAATATATGTAAGACAGCGCAGTTAAAGTTGTTGTACAGTGCACAATAACAGTGTGACGGGGAAAGGTGAGGGATCATCAACATTCTGTGATACAACAATATCAGATTGCACACACGGTGTGCCGGGTAGCGCGGCGCGCGGCCTGCTGGCAGGTTGCTGATGAACACACCGGCCCTGGCACAGGGCGCGCGGGCACAGAGGGAGATGCTTGCGAGTCCTGTGAAAAATGTCGTGGGGTTCACTGTAAGCAGGGCCAATGTTTCCGTTATAGCAGCAGCCATTCCATCACAAGGAAAGCGCAGGATCGAGATCGCAAAAAAAAAAGAAAATCCAAAACTTTATATACATTTTGATTAGATGTTCTGTAAATTGAAAAAAATAATAATTCCGTGGGGAAATATTTTCGTTCAAAGAGTTTTTTCCCTGTGCGCTGTGGTACACATTCTCCTGTGCGCACAACCTGTAATCACGCCGTGCGTCTTTTTTGGAAGCTGTTAATTTCATTTGGCAGCAGCTCTCCTGGAACTTGTTACACTTGTCGCTCTGGGAAAAAACAACAACAAGCTGTTGTTGCGTGGGGATATCTTTTCCCACTGTGTTTAAGTGTTTAAACCATTTCCTACCGTGACCAGATAACACGCAATTGGCCTCATTCTCACTACGTCAGCATTTTTTTAAATCTCCCTTTTGCTCAGTAGGAATTTAGAAACCTACAAATCTAAATACTTTACTAGGACGAATGTATACAAAATGATGATTGTGACGACATCTAATTTCTGACAGGTAACCAATCAGTCCCCGCCTAATTTCACGCAGCATGTAAGCGAGCAGAGCAAAGTGACGGACCGCGTGAGCCGCAGGTTGATCCGGATCTACCAGCTGTACAGCCGGACCAGCGGCAAGCATGTGCAGGTCCTGCCCAACAAGAAGATCAACGCCATGGCTGACGATGGAGATGTGCACGGTAAGTCATTTTAAGAAACGAACTACATGTGTGATACTTTTTTTTTTTTTTTATCCCCAACAGGTATAGATGTATTGCCATCTGCACCCATGCTTAGAAAACCCTGTTGATTTAATTTAATTTAATTACCTGAAGAAACAAACCTTATTTAAGTTCCCTCCTTTGTCCAGGCGGCGTTTGAGAAATTCAAGGTTTCCTGCTCTAATAAGGCATCAATTTCCTTTTTCCTTTTCCGTACATTTATTTAATTTGACTATTCTGATAACTTTTTACTCACAAAAAAATATAAAACGATAATATATTCTTATCCTCTTATTTTTCCTTTGTGAATATTTTATTTTTTTGTTCTAGGCCAGTATCTAATGTCATTAAACTGACAGCCAATGAAATAGGCCATTTATAGAGTTAAGTGTCTAAGATGTAAATATATATATATATATATATATATATATATGAGAAAAATCTGTTAACTCAAAAAATTAAATGAAATATTTAATCTTTTTCATCAATAGCAGTTCATGATAGAGGACAATAAGAGAAGGTATATTCCAAATGCACACAGCATATTTGCAGAATGCATTGCATGAAGGCCCATTCATTCAGTCATTCAAAGGTGTTCCAGTTTGATTACTGAAATATCCAGACAAAAGTGAAACCCAATTTGAAAATTATTCAGGCCTTTATCCCTCAACCCAACAGCTGACTGGGGGAGATGGTCTCTATGTTCACTATTTTGTAATCCCACTCTGTAATTCTGGAGGGGAAACTGTCCAGTGGATTGTAGATGGTGCTAGGGGTGATCCTCCAGAGATCCTGCAGGTCTGGAAGAACCATTAGAAGCAATCTTACTTCTACCTCCCGAACATTTCCTGCATAGCTCCTTCTCCCACCTCCACCCCCAACTTCAGCCCCCCTACTTCATCCAGCTTCAGAACCGAATGGGTCAAGTTGAGCCTTGAAGCCCCCTTTACCCCACATTTTGTTTTTGTAGTTAAGAATATTTACAACTGAATCCGAAAAAAATAATCAGAACATCCACTCATTCATCAAATACCCATTGGTAACAGTGTGGTTGTTGCTGCTGTCTATACAGAGGTTTCAAATGTCCGTTTTGCAGGATGTAATTATATGCATTCTCATGAAAAGAGCACCAGCTATTCAGGTCACCTTAAGATATTTTGAGAGCTCACTTGTCAGAAGAACTCCATGCGTGTGTCTCTAATCCCTTTCTATGACCCAAACTCTGTCCCCCAATCAGCTTAGCTCAAACTGCCAAATCTAACTTCATCTATAACTCAGGATTTAAGTAGATTGGTTTGTCAGTGGGATGGTGGGAAAAGTCCCTGCCCAACTTCAGTGACCCCACTAACACACTGGTTATTGCCAAGTAACAATCTCCTATTGGCTTTAATGTTCTGGTTAATATCCTTCAGAAAATCAGATATGCTGCATACAAATACATATACATACATACAGAACACTGAATAGGACCTGAAGATATCTGTCAGTGTAAAACAAATTGCATCACAATATTCTGTATAATTGTCTTTATCTTGTTAAAAAGCAACAACAACAAAAAGCCAAAAGCTCTATCAAGTCATTCCCTGTGAACTGTCCATATTTCCTGTTTCCTTCAGTACTAGTCAGGATATATAGATAGACATGGAGCTTTATGTGTGAGGTCAGTGCAGATTTATTCTAAAAGGAATTTCTGATGGGCCTGCCAGGATCCCCTCTTTAGCTTTCAAGGAACCAAGAGACACGTGGTTTTATCATTTTGCAAGAATCTCAGCTTGCATAAATCCCCAGGAATGGTCCCACAGGTTTTTATGCATGGCTGTGTGTGTGTGTGTGTGTGTGTGTGTGTGTGTGTGTGTGTGTGTGCATGGATGAAATAGAGAAAAGAGACTATGTATACTTGAAAACACATTGGAACATTATTTTTTGGTTTTTTTTTGTTTGTTCCTCTGCACTGATGAATCATTTCTCCATGTTTTAAAAATAGTCACAAAACATAAGTCCTTTCCAAACCATGCTGTTCTGAGCTGCTGTTGCTAATATTACTCTCTTTTCTTAAATTCTTTTAGCCAAACTCGTTGTGGAAACAGACACATTTGGGAGCCGAGTGCGCATCAAGGGAGCGGAAACGGGCTTCTACATCTGCATGAACAAGCGAGGGAAGCTCATCGGCAAGGTAAGGGGAAAAGTTGACCTCAGACAACAGGAGCAGAGGCAAAAGGTTGGCTAGCTTATGGTAGCTGGGGTCAAAATGTCAACAGTTGTAGCAGCACAGTAAGAGGAGTTAGAGACGGATTTAGCATTTGTTTTGTGGACTTCTGTTTTGCAAAGGAAAATTGCAAATAATTTGAAGAAGTTTCAGTAGTTGACAGCACTGAATAAATCTGTGGAGTGGAGGTGATCTGGGTACAGAGTGTTGAGAGGCTGATGGAGGCTAATGCTAGTTATATGATGGCTCAGTGTATGTAATCTTTATATTACTGTCCTCAAACAGGAGTTATACAGTGTAGGGGTTAGAGCCTGGTATGCTGCTGTTGGTGCTATCCGAGGTTCTTGGTGTGTGTTTCAGGCGATCTCAGTGTCCCTCTCTTACTGTGATGGCTAATAAACATAGCTGCCATCCTCTCATCCTCTCTGCAGCCCCCCCCAAACACACACCCCTTCACCCACCCAGCACCCTGCCTCGTACACCATCTGCCATGAGCTACCGGCCCAGTCACAGCCTGCACTGGCCCCAGTGTGTGTGTGTGTGTGTGTGTGTGTGTGTGTGTGTGTGTGTGTGTGAGTTGACGAGAGACAGAATAAATAGAGAGTGTGTCTTTTGGGTGTATGTAAGCACATGACTATTTTTAACACACTATTTTGTCCAATAAGGTGGAAACTTGTTACAGTAGGTTAGCACTGTGTGTCCATGCCAGTGAATTCTGCGTCAGCTGACCTTACTGTACATTTTGTCACCGAGGGAATTTGCATCACGTTTTTTACTTGATAATATCCCGAACTAGAGGTCATACTTCAACCACCTTTTTGTTTACTGTCTCTTCCTAGAGCTGCACCTTTGTCTAAGGTCAAAAGCCGGATCTAATGGAGCTTTAACCGAACCCAGCGAAGGACTGCTGAGATGTATTCAAAGTTATATTGATTGGTATTCAATACAAGCGGACTTTGTAGGACAAATTTAGCCACACCTGTAATGCAACCAGAGTTTAAACCAGAGTGGAGTGAAACTTGGGGGCTTATTAAGGCTTTATGGCAGGAGGATCTGTCCTGCAGATACTGACCCACAAGGGCTGCTGGATGTTTTCTGAAGGGGGAGAAGAGTCATCGCTTACTGTCATCCCCCTCTCTCTGATCTGTAATGACTGTAGCATATGCTACATGTATGAGGGGAGGGCTTTGTAAGTGAGTGTGTGTGCATGCAGGGAACAGGCTGAATAGGGAAGCCCTTTATACATCCGATACTTCCCATCTGTAAATCTTCATTGAGGAATCTTCTCTGAACATCCTTGCTGAGTTTTTTCTACGTTTGTGTTTTTGCAGAAAAACGGACAAGGCCGTGACTGTATCTTCACTGAGATTGTTTTGGAGAACAACTACACGGCTTTGAGGAACGCTCGCTATGAAAGCTGGTACATGGCCTTTACGCGCCGTGGGCGGCCACGGAAAGGCTCGCGGACACGCCAGCACCAGCGGGAGGTCCATTTCATGAAGAGGCTGCCTAGGGGGCAGCAGCCCGCACACTCGAGCCACCACCACCCTTTCGACTTCATCCACTATCCCTTCAGTCAAAGGACTAAACGTACACGGTACTCATCAGAGCGCTGAGGAGGGGAAGGAATAAAGAAAAGACAGAGATGAACGGAGGAGAAACTGACAAACTGACTGAATTACCAGCAGCAGATAATCTCCTCTGCTCTGCAACAACCTCTAGAGACATTTTTTATACTGAGCATTACTATATCTTAATGTGTAGTTTGTTTTCTATCTTTCTTGAAAAAACTGTAAATAGACAAAAATACATGAGAAATCTATTTTTGTACTCCAGACTTAGTACTGACCTGTGTAAAAAAAAAAAAGAAGAAGAGAGAAAAGTTTGTTCTTAGATGCACATAACTTGTTGTCTGACTTATCAAGGACATCTCTGTAGAGTGCTTTGTGTTTAGTTTTTGTTTGGTTTTTTTTGACCAGTGGAGTCATTTTTTTGGACTCTCGCCTGCTGCTCAAGGAGACTTGAAGGGCCCTGATTGACCGCACTGCCAGGGAACGCTGCGTTTAGGGACACAAACTGTCACACACTGTGTTTGAAAGCGCTGGGTGTCAGTAAACGTTGCATAATGGTGGTGACACTGCAGTGTGAAAGCTTCTGCTAGATGCTTCATCCTGACCGTGTTTCTCACTCTGCTTCTTTCTCACACAGTTGAAGCAAACAGAACTTTAATAGCATCTGATGGAACAATGTGGCAGCTACATTTGATAATCACAGGTTTCCTGTTCTGACTGTAATGTTAATGTGTACAAAATGCATTGATGTGTGAGGAACCCCCTGACACAAACTGCCCCTCTCCCTTTTGTGTTCTTGTTGCCCCCTGAATGTCTGTTTTTATATAAATATATATAAAACTATATTTTTATTTGAGGATGTGAAAAATAAATTTAAGGATGGAATATTTATTTAAAATGTATAATAAATGTACATTAAAATACTGATATTAAACTCTTGTTTGGTACATGCTTGCTTTGGATCGATCTGTGAAACAAAGATAAGACACCTATAATCCTCAAGCTCGGTCTGTTTGTACATTAACCAAAGACTCCTGTATGCTATGAAGGGTAAAAGGAACAACTTTGTGTTTAAAACACTCTGATAAAGGTTATCTTTATGATGATTAACACAACATTTGTACCCACATAATCTGCAGCAGTGACAATGCATAATCTTAACCTTATGAGCTACTTACATGAAATGAAATGATAAATATATAGGCAAACTAATCGTTAAATACTAAATATTTTACACTTGTGATCATAAGAAAAATGATTGGTAACACTTTATAATAACCATCATCAATAAAGGCTGAATTGATAGTTAATCAACTTTAGTTTAAAGTTATTTTACTGTTAACAAAGAATGAAATGATAGTTAATAATGTTTGTAATGCTATAATTGATGTTATGTTAACAATTTATTTTTGCACACATTATAACATTTTATACACTATATAAAGTGTTTGTTAATGATTACCAAATGATTTATATGAAACATCTATAAACATGACATAGATGGACCAAACACTTTATTTATCATTATTACATATTTTGTAAAGCTTCTATTAAAATTATTTGGATGGATTTTATAAAGTTGGAACTGAAGATTATAATAACTTCTTCCAACTTTATAATGACCACCCAAATAAAGTTTATAGATGCTCTACACAGTATTTATGAACCATTTACAAAGTAGATAATGATTGTAGATGGTTTACAAACCAATTATTAACCATTGAGTATTAATTATCCATCTACAAAATGTTTATAGATGCTTTACAAAGTATTAATACAAGTTTTTAATAATCTTCAGTTCAAACTTTATAATGGTCATCCACAGAATGTTAATAGACGGTTTATAAACTAATTATTAACCATTAACAAATATCTGGTCCATGTACAATGTCATGTTTATAGATCTTTTATATAAATCATTTAGTAATCTTTAACAAACACTTTATAAAGTGTATAAAATGTTAAAATGTGCAACAATAAACTGTTAACATAACATAAATGAAAACATTACAAAAATGATTAACTATCATTTCATTCTTTGTAAACAGTAAAATAACTATTAACTCAAGTTTAATTAACTATCAATTTACCCTTTCTAGATGATGGTTATTATAAAGTGTCACCCCTTGTTGTTTTCAGAAACCCTGCTTTCATATAAATGATTTAATGTCCTTTAAAATAAAAATAGAGCTGACATGTTTTGAAAAACTGACAAACTAAACGTTTACAATCATGGTTGAATGTTTGAATTACAGATATTTTTAGTATTCACTTTCTAATCAGTTTATTATTTTTATGAATTATTTTTAACAAACAATATTAATCCTCATAGCTCTGATATCGTTTCAATCTTACACAGACACTACACCCTGATTTTGTTGGACCAAAAAAAAACGTCTTTTTCTTCTTTTTCTTTTATCAACGATAAACAAATGAGATATAACACAATCATTACATGATTATTTTTCTATTAAAGTGTTTGTATTATTTGGACTTTTGGTCTGAGCCAGGCTAGCTGGCCTCTCCTGCTTCAAGACTTCATGTTAAAAAGGCTGACTTCATCTGTGTCATAACAGAAAATTGAGATCTTAATATCTCAAAAAAAGTCTGTTTCTGAAAAATATTTAAATATGTTAAAAATAATGCTTTTATCCCCTTGTAAAACAAAAGCTAGTAGGCTAACATGCAACTTAATACACATTATTGTTTGTCATAAACCAATGATCCAATGAATGCCTAACCTTTCAGTGTCAAATAATGATTGTAGTTAACCTCTTCATATCATACAAGTACAAGTATATACTGATTATACGAGTCAGTTTGTAGAGCACATCTACCCAAACATCACTGATAATCTTTATCCTTAGAAGTAAAAACCATGTTAGAAATGTTAGTGTTAGCCTCAGCAACTACATGAAATATTTAAACATTCAGGATGAACTGCAGTCTACATTACAGATAATTAATGTAGTGTTTACATAGTGTCAGCTTGTTTGTTAGTAAGCTGTATGTGGTCAGCAATCCATCACTGTCTGGCTGTCTCCAGAGACTGTGGAAGGCCATAGCACTATTGCTAGATGCTAGTATAGGGTCTTTGCATGTCAGAACATTGGTCGCTGCCATATGATTATTGTTCCTGAATTAAAAGCAGAGCCTGTCAATTCTTGACAAGTACAACTGAAACTGTTAGCATACAGGTAGTTCTTTCTATCTCATAGTGTGTGTTTATGACAATTAATACACAAATTAAACAATTACTTTTGGTTGGAAAGTAATGTTTTACAATTTTTTTTTTATATATATATATACACAAGAGGAAAATAATATTTGGCTGCTCACAAAATGCTGGTACTGAACATCAGCAAAATGTAATATTTTGTTTTCTATAACCTTAACTCTTGCATTTCAATATTTGCTCCTGTGAAACCGTGAATTTGTTGATTATGTTAACGCATGCTCAACACTTGTTTGAAGTAAAGAAAATGTATGGTCTTAAGAAACTATTAAAATGATTCAAAAGTTAATTGAAGTCTAACATAAAATGCGTTTAATGTAGCAATATTGAACCAAAACATGACTATGACCTTTCCTTGACCAGAGTGGCGGGTTGGCTAAACCAAACCTCTCTCTGAATTCAGACACCAAAATTAAACATCAAACACCAGCTACCTTGGCACAACAAACATTTCATTGGAATATAATCTAATCCAAAATAAAGGAAAACAAAGTATAAGCAAATAAACATCAGATATAGGGTTGGTAAATAAGGTGAGGCAACCAAAAATAATTTGGCTCCTTGCTATTACATTAAATGCATCCAATGCCCACTTTAAAAAAGTTATTACATTATTTCCAATGGGTTAGGGTTAGGGTTTGTATTTATTAGTGTCTGTTGAAGTTATGTCTAATAGAGAGACCATCTGATCACTCAGATGTTTATAATGTAATTGTCTGGGGTTGGAGAGTACAAATAAAAGATCAGAATTGTTGACATTAAAGCACTAACACCTGCACATGGAACCAGTTGAGGAACTTCACTGAACCAAAAGGAAACTCTGTGGTCTTTGGTTTCTCCCCACATGAAACATGACCAGGGAAAGCTAACAGGGAGAGTATTCTTAGTCTGATCCCAACAGGGATAACAAGGTCATTTGAAGTCATGAAGACCCCCTCCTTCCTTTTTAGAAGATAGTAACACATCAGTGTCAGAGCACTTTGCTGTTGTGGGGATGATACCACTGTGTTTGTTTTTAGGCTTTAGCTTCCTTCAGGTTGTGTAACGCTCAGTATCTCTGCTGTTATTGTTCCATCTTCCTCCTCTTAACGCCCTGTTGTTTCATCAGATTGAACAATCCCAGCAGCAGTGTGTGTGTATGTGTGTGCGTGTGTGTGTGTGTGTGTGTGTGTGTGTGTGTGTGTGTGTGTGTGTGTGTGTGTGTGTGTGCGTGTTTCAATGCTGGTATATCATACTCAGATCAGAATATTGTTTAGCCAGTGTTTGAGTGTAATATTTGTCACTTACGTTATTAGTTCTGTTATGTTATGTTAGTGTGGATCAATTGTGATAATCCAAATAAAAATATGTGCTCAGAAAAATCTGTATATCTGATTTGTTCAGTTGAAAGTAGGGAAACATTTAATAGCAACAGGTAGTTAAGGTAGTTGTAGCCATTATTCATAGCCTGGACACAAAGCATTTTCTTTTTTACAGCACAAAGCACAATATCATTTTTGCCGTCAAATCTTTTACCAGAGGAAGTTTTGGAAGATAAGCGAACGTAAATACAATTAATCTCCACATTATAAAATGGTAATTACCAGTTTCTACTTCATGTGATTTATAATTTTGGAAGTTATTATAACAGTTTTGGTACCGTATGCTGCATCACTAAATATCAACCTTTATTATTCAGAGTGTTACAACTTGAATATAACCATGTAAAAGTTTTTTTTTTTTTTTCATTCCACAGTTTAAACTTACAATCATTTATTTTTGGGCAGGTAACACAAGGTCTGTCTGACTGAAGAGTAGTAGAGTAGCTGTGCTACATGCCACCTTGTGGTCCCCAGAGGGGGGGTAAGTGTATCAAAATGTAAACTCCGTTACCAAAAAACTTTAACTTCAATATCAGTTCATCAATTCTGCTAATAATTAAGTGAAGTTAAATGAACATTATCGCCATATACAGTTCTTGTGATTCCGACCATGTAATCCATTTGAAGATCAATCTAACATTGTGGTGCAACAATCTCAGCATCTGTCAGACTACTGACTAAACAAACAAGTCTGCTGCATCGGTAAAGGTCCCCATGATCCAAATCCAGTAAAAGATTTGATCCAAACACATTACATCCATAAAAATCGACGGATTATTTCAAAACTTCCGCTGCTGTTCCAAATTGTTACCTGTATTTACTATACTAATTAATGCACTCTGACCCTTTCAATTGACACCTCATTTGCAGATGTGTCTCTTCACTTGAGTGGGCGAAAGTGCATAAAAGTAACAAAAATGACGTTCAACAAAAAACAAATTGACCAGAAGTGAAATATTTAAATAATATTTTTTTTCAGATTAACTTTCACTTTAAAAATAAAAACAAAATTAATTCTGAAAATTTACGATCAACAGATTAACAGACGTGTGCCCAGCTCTGGTGGTCCCTTCCTGCTACTCTATACTAAAAGTCATTGCCACTGGCTAGCCTCCTAAAATAATTTGAGAAGAGGAGCGAAATGTGTGAGCTGCGTCCTGCCATCAAAGAGCCTTTTTCACACTGAGACTCCTGCCGTGCTTCCCTGTGGGGCTACACATGCTAACAGCCCCTGGCATTACTATTCTGGCATCCTAAAGTCCAGAGGGCCCAAGTGAGGTAACAACCATGCTTATCCCTGTTTGGACACTCCCTTTGTGCTGGTCAACTACTTCCCGA